GAATGTGTGTTTTCTTGCTTCCCGGCCGTATACACTTTAAGGAACTGAGAACTTCAAGGCGGCAAAGAGATATCGAGGGACCAATTGTTAATTTCTAACAGTAACTCATATGCTAATAAGTATAAAGAATCCGTTAAGTACATATAGGCTACTCAGCAGACTGGGGTGATCTTACCATGCCCTTTAGTTAAATCATGGAACAGTGGCGTAATTTCTCTGTCTCCAAATTCATCTGCATGATTAACAAGGGCTTGCTTCACTGTTTTGTAGCCAGCTAACACAACCACTTTCTTTGGACCAAAGTAGACTGTGAAAACTGGGCCGAACTGCTTTGCCATCTGATTAAGATTGAAAGAGATGTTATAGGCAGTTATGTATGGAGGACCAAACCTGCAGAAATTAAAAATAAAATAAAATATATGGATAAATAAATAAATAAAATAACAGGAAAATAAATAAATAAATTGATAAAAACAAATATAGTTAATTTTTAATCAAATTTAACCCTGAATTTATGTATTACTTTTTTCCTTTATGTATTTTTCCTTTATGTATTATATTATTTGATGTATTTATTTTTTAAATTTATTTTTATTCTTTTTTACTTTTATTCCCTTATTCTCTCATTTATTCTCATATTTAATTAATTTATTTATTTATTTATTTTTCAATGTATTTATTCATGTGTTTATTTATTTTTTAAAATTTATTTATTCCCACCTGTATTTATTTCCAGATTTATTTATTTATTTATTTATTTCTTTTTACTTTTCTCTACTACCGTTCGCCACCCTCAGTTCAGTACGCATTTGTACCGCAATTAATTTCAGTTCTTCTAACTAGGGCTGCAACAACTAATCTTTACTTTCCGTGTGCAACATGGAAATGAGGGAGGCGGTCCTTGCTGAGCTCCGCTAAAACAGGCAGTGCATTTACCTACCGGCAAACCCGCCAAAATAAAAGCTTGCTCATTTTAGGTTTGAAAATGTTGAAAACTCATATAAAAAAAATTAAAAAGTAAAATAAAATGTAAATATTAGCATTGTATTTTTAAGTGTACTATAAAATAATTGTATTTTTATTTGATAGTTATTTTTAATTTTAAAATATAATAGTATTATCAAACTATTGTAGTGCTATTGTAAATAAAGTGCAATAATACTATTGTTAATTATTTTATTTTTTATCCACCTTTTTTTCACTAGGAGTGGGTGTGGCTATCTGTAAATTTTATGGGTCTGGCTTCCGGTGTCATCCACTTCCAGCTATTTTTAGCTGTACAAAACAGCTTGTTTTGCTGCTTGATATTGCAAATTGGTGTGTCTTATCATATTATTTTCATGTATTATCTTAATTATGAACACACTGGTTTGTAGTGCAAACAGTTTTATGGTTTACTGCACTTTGTAATTTTTCTCGTTATTTCCATACGGGTTAATGAACCGAAAGTCTCGGGGGGTTACACAGCCAAGGGCGTAGCTACGTGGTGGCCATGGGTGGCCAGTGCCACCCCTGATGAAAGCTTGGCCACCCCTCTGGCCACCCCTGTGCAAACCTAACAGGCGCTGCGCAGACCGATCACTGTATGACATCTTGCACCGCGAGAGCAGACGGCTCCGTACGTTTTCGAGCACACCCAACTTAACACTGACAGACAGATGACATTTTTCGCCGTTCTGTGGCGCAAACATTCTGTAAATACAAAGTAAAAAAAAAAAACATTACACATAATCTTACATTATGGGTCTGTCATTTTGTGTAAGTACTGTAGCTGTTAAATGTAATAATACAAGTGTTTCTTAATACTGTATGTTTGTCTGAACTGTACAGAATATGAAAAGGAAAGCAGAGGAAGATAGGAAAATACATTCCTTTTTTACAAAAAGGAATAGTAACAGCAAAACTGAACATGAAAATGAGGCAGGGGAAATGAATGATGCAGAAAGGAAAGAAGCAGTGGAAATGTCTGCCTCTAAGAGAGACAAGGAGGAAGCAGAGGTACAGTCAGAGATGGAGCATGTATCGATAGAGACGACTCCGATCAGACCTGAATCAGAGATGAGCAAAAACAGTCATGTAGTCAGTCATTGCCCACCAAGTATGTCTAATTAGGTTATATAAGTTGTACCTGCAAAAATTAAAAAAAAAAAAAATTCTA